CGAATTTTGGCATCTGGGTTTGGCTCAAAATCGAATTTCTGTTATCTGGGTTTTGCTCAACATTGAATTTTCTCATCTGGGTTTTGCTCAATCTCGAATTTGTTATCTTGGTTTTGCTCAATAATCGAAATTGTTAGCTGGGTTTTGCTCAAAATCGAATTTTGGTTTTTTGGTTTTGCTCAAAATCGAATTTTGATATTTGGGTTGCACTCAAAATCAATTTGTTTCTTCAGGTATAGTACATTTTTTAAAATAATTTCTCACTTATTTTCCTTTTGTTCTTTCTAGATTTGATTTATTTTCAGATTCCGGATTTGATTTATTTTTCTTGAGGGTATAGTTTTGATCTGTTCATTTTGTTGTACCACGGTAGAACTTGGTGAATTTTGTGTAGTTCTTTGCTTTCTCCCCACATTTCTCCTACTACTGTCAAGGCTACACCAGTGGTAGCGGTGACTGCCCTCTTTTTGGTTTTTGGGTTGTGGTTTTTCGGTGTTTTCAGGAAAATTCTCGAAGTGTTGGAGACAAGTTGGGCGAACGAGCACTAGCAAAGGAGAGCAACCTGGAGAGGCGTCAGCAAAGGGTGGTGGGAAGCGGTGTGTGAGCGTACAACTACATCGAGTACAGCAAATAAACACAAGTTTGGTTCTCAGGATTTGGTACCTCCTGTTCTCTTTTGGTGTTAGCTAAATTGATGTTACTTTAATTCACAATAGTTCAATTCAATCATTCTACTAGTGTACTAGTAGTCACTTGTTTCCTTCTAGTTTGATTCGTTGTCCGTTGTGCACTAGCGAGTCTTCTTTAGATTGTAGTAGGTGTAGTGGCTGCAGTTTGGGATGATAGATTAAGGGTATGTCCTCGGGTAGGGCAGAGTGTGGGGTTGGGGTTAGAGGGTGGGGCGGGAGGTAGGGGAGGTAAAGGGGGCAAATGAGCCTATAAGTTGAGAATCGGGTCATGGAACATAGGTTCACTAACGAGTAAGTCTATAGAGTTGGAAAAGATCCTTCAGAAGAGGAAGATTAATATAGCATGTGTCCAGGAGACTAGGTGGGTTGGATCGAGGGCGAAAAATGCGGATGGGTATAAGTTGTGGTACTCTGGAGTCCGGAGAGGTAAGAATGGAGTGGGTATCCTGGTAGATAGCCATCTTAGAGAGTGGGTGGTAGAGGTTAGGCAGGTGAATGATAGACTAATGACTATTAAATTGGTGGTGAGTGACTGTACTTTAAATGTCATTAGTGCGTACGCGCCGCAAGCGGGCTTGGATGAGGGGATTAAAAGGCGCTTTTGGGAGGGGTTGGATGACGTCGTTCGTAGTATTCCGCCTTCCGAGAGGTTATTCATAGGAGGAGATTTCAATAGTCATATTGGGTTGTCGGCAGATGGTTATACTGAGGTGCATGGCGGCTTTGGTTTCGGGGAGCGGAACGAAGGAGGCACTTCGCTGTTGGACTTTGCCAAGGCATTCAATCTAGTGATTGCGAACTCATGTTTTCCGAAGCGGGAGGAGCACTTGGTTACTTACCAAAGTTCGGTGGCGAAGACTCAGATTGACTATTTCATCCTCAGGGGATGAGACAGAAGGTTATGCAAGGATTGC